AGCTACCTGGAATTAAATGAATACCTAATCACATGAAGGTGCTGCAGCCAATCTATACAGGTTGGCCTTCAAGTCATGACTAGGATTGGCATGTCTGCTTTCCAAATATGGCTTGATGTATGGCAAGTGGAGTAGTATTGGTGGTGGTAGGAGATGAGTACCTTTTTGTATGAAGGCGCTGCAGCCACTTTATACAGGTTTGCCTCCAAGTCACAAAAAGGATTTGGCATACTTATGTTTCAAGTGTGGCGGAAGTGTCCTATGGGTGGAGTTCTTATTGGTTTTCTTAATGGCGCCGGAACCTAACCTTGTATAATAGACCTACATTGTCGGAGGGGTGAGCGAGAAACTTCTGTTGTCGTCACCAGCTCGTGTTGCGAGAGTAACTAGAATCCCTGGTCGTCACGTATTACTCTACTAAGTTCCCCAATCACCAGCATTACACTTGCAACTAACCTAGCTTATTGCTAGTTGCATTGGCATTGGCTGCCATTTCACTCTGGATACTATGGGGCGCAACTCCTTGGGTACTTTCGAATAATAATAGTTGTACAGAGGTTTCTTGGGCATATTTAGTCTAACTGCTGATCAGTAAACAACGCCGGGTTTGGTAATGATGACCATGTCGATCTTTTGGAGGGGGTAAGCCATCCATTCTTTTTCTAAGAAGCCATGGAAGAGAGAATAATTCATAAAGCCCATATCCTAAGAAAGGTTACCGCTTCTTGATATGGTTCTTAAGAAAAGAGAGTCAACTGGCCAGAGGAGTGATGTTATAGAGACAGAGTTTTCAAAAGAGAGAAAGGCCTAGGGAGGAAAACCTTCAGGGAAAAGGGAAAAACCTAGCTTCGGCAGGAAGAAAAAAGGAAAAAGGAAGGAAGTGGTAAAAGTAAAAAAGAAAGTATATAGAAGAGAGAAGAAAGAATAGGAGAAGGTAAATAAAGAGATATGGGGAGGGGGCATAGAGAGAAGGGAAAGGAGAAGACGAAAAAAAAGTAAACAACTCAAAAATTTCCTAAAAAGGAAATTTTCAAGCGTAGAAAGGGAAGTGGAAAAGAGTTTTTAATTTTAATTATATTTAATTTGCTTTATATCTAGATTATTTAACAAAAAATATTTTATTTTAAAGAAGTTTTATATGTAGTAAAAGTTTAAAAAATTTATAATTGAAAAAAAAAGATTTACAATTTTATCATTGTACAATAATTCCATCACATATATACATAATCAAAATTACAAAATTAATATTTTTGAAAGATAAAGGTTTATTTAATTTTATAAAGTTATTAATATAGTTAATATTATCTGTTTCAATTTTCAAATTATTATTATTTAATATTGTTAATATTGTTAAAAAAATTATTATTAGTTTAACTCTTAATTAATTAATAATTTCTATTTGAAAAATCATTTTTAGATTTGATTTTCTGTTTAAACCCAAGTTATTTCTACTGTATATTAATTTTTATCTTTAAATAATATAATAATATAACAATTAGTTAATTGTTAAATACTGTAGTAACAAATTATATTTTTCAATTATTTTTAACTTACACAGTATTTATAATGATAACATTCAAAATCAAAATATTTTGTTTTTTTTTTTTAAAAAAAAATATTTATATAAATATAAGTTATTACAAATTTTTTTCAAAATTTACTGTTATGATTTTTATTTTTTCTAAATATAATTTTTATTTTTTTACAGTATACAGTATTAAATTTTCTATTGACGAATTAGTTACTTTTGTCATATATTACATTATTTTAATTATTCTGAAATTTTTCGCTTTTTTGTTACACCGTATCTCAATTTTTGTTTTGCAAATTCGGAATTTTTTCTTCTTCGATTCTGCTTCTTCATTTCATTCTTTTTTATTTTCCTTTTAGCAGCGGCTTCCGGGTCAATAATAGCCTAAAATATTAATTATTTGAAAGACAATTGTTTACATTTTGTATTTGATGAGAAACAGAAAGTGTATGTGTTATATTACCTTTATAGCACGCTTATTCTTACGCTCTCTTCTTACATCTGATACCTGTTGTTGCACATTATTATATGCAATATGATATTGAGTAGTTCCGACACGTTTCTGTATTATGTCGAGAACTTCTCTTCCAAGCAATTTAAGATTATCTGTTGTTTACAAAGT